TCGGTTTGGCCATTGATTTTTTGGTCAACTCTTGGTTAGAGTTTGCAAATTAAGTCGTTGGTGAGGTTTTGAGTTGCATCTCAATAAGTCTCCTTATCATCTCTTCCAATCTCTAGAAGCGGCCTTTAAATCTGTATTTCATGGAAGCAGACTTATCTTCTATGGATAAAAATCTTCTTTCTACAGTGGATAAATTTTCCTTCATCGTAGATCTAATTTGGATGTTCTAGTTTTAATATCCAACTAGCAAATAATAAGCAAGTTGGGTATGATAAATATGTGTGCTCCAGCTTGAGGGGTGTTGTCGGATTTTTAGGATGTTCTAGTTTTAATATCCTCTATTTTTAATCTTTTTTTTAAATTTTTAGAATATTATATTGTTTGGTAGTTTTTTATTTTTGTTTCTTTTTTTCTAGCATGGAGATTTTGTGACGGATTCGGCTTTCCCCTGCATTTATCTTGTAAACATGTCTTATGAAATTGAAGAGGGAATTTTTTTTCTTTTTCCCCAAGAATTACACTTCAATCTATTTTGCAAATTGTTCCAAGTTGTTCCAAGGGGCGGTTGGGAGCAATGTAGGAGGATGCAGAAGGGGATAGGGGAAGATAATCACTGCTTGTGAGTGAGATACAGCTGGAGCATCACCTAATCCCTCGGAAGTGAGAAACGGACTCGGTGACTGTCCTAAATAAACACCAAAAACTGAAAGCCTAAAAACAGGAATCACATATATAAGCCCTAGATAACTAGGATTGGATCCCCATGTGTAAAGGAGGCGTTGATCTCTAGTAGGAGAGCCGATCGACCCTCTCGGGTCTATACTGGTGTAGTTCTGATAAATGACATCGCGGGAGAAGCCTGCGACTCCCTCTGTGTCGCGCCCATAGCGTTATTGGCACTCTTGTGGCTTTATTCGTGATTGGGGGAGCTTCGAACTCATCTGTCGAAGCTTCTGTCTCCTCATAGTAGTCAGGTCACCTCGCTGAAGTCAATCATGTAAATGTTGACATTCCACAACACATCTTGATAAAATAAATATGCATTCTCTTTTGGTGCATCCTATGTTGGAGTTGATATAGATATAGGTTCTTACAAGCCAAATCCCAAACAATTTATGCTTCTCCCACTCGTACTCAGTTAGATGTGTTTGATTAACAAGACTGTTAGGAGGGGTCAACTATGGAACGACAACTTTGGCAACTTGGGCCATTTTGATTGCAACCACTCATAAGACTTCCTTTTCTTGGGAAGGACCTGAGGTGATCACCAACGTTGTGGCTCATCCATTCTGTTTGATTTTCTATCTAGGGGTACACTGCTGAACTGATTTTAATACCAAAAGGACTCTTTATTGTCTTCCATAAGTACTAAAAATCTTATCTATAACAATTTGGACCTCCCTTAGTAGGAGCAACTCAGATGGCAAGTTATATATCTAAGATGTCTAAGATGTTTTTATTTGAAGTTGTCTTGTGTCTAGTATCGGCTCAAACTTTGTCCCTTTCAAACATCCAATGCTAGTTTGGTTGATACTCCTTCAAACGCCTGCAAAAATTTAGTTTGAGGCACCCCGACCTCCTATTTTGCATGAACGCTCATTACATAAAACTCACTACCCTCTAGAAAGTTATTGTCAACTCAGTTGGAATCGTTGTCTTCAGTTCAACTGGAATCGATGACATCTCTTTTTCGGCTTGCTGTCAGCACTCTTTTGTGTTCTTACTCTCTTCCGTGTATACTGTCATTTTTCATTTCTTAAATTGTTCTCTAATCAGTGCAAGATCTTTACTTTATGCAATCTGATTGAAGATCCCAAATTTGTGGCACTTAAAACGCTTCCTAGCGGGTACAAATTTGAGAATGCTTGTTGGTGTCACCTATTTTGCACTTAGAACTAGTGTCTTCTCAGGTGCGGGTTGGCTTAGATTTTTCCTTGGGTGTACTCTGGTTGTAAGATCAAAAGGTTCAATCTTTTCTGTGAGATGTGGTGGTCATCTGGTGACGTGATCTTTCCACTTTTGGAGTTGGGGTCTAAACATCCCGTCTATAGTGAATTGGTAGGTATTGGCTCTGCATCTCCTGTTTCATCTCTGATCAGATAGTGACCTTATCTTTTCTCTCACGCTGTCATAGGTACTTTAGAGTTTGCCACCAAAAAATGCACTCTTCTTTAGCTCGCTAGCAGCTAGTTTTAACATTTTGTCCGGTGGGACATCCTCACACTCGAAGACACATTCCTATGTTCAGAGTTGCATATAGATGTAGATTCTCATAAGTCAAATCCCGAACAAGTAAATATATAATATGCTTCTCTACTCATACCTGACTGGATGTGTCCGATAAAAAAGACTCTTAAGAGGGGTCAACTCTAGAGCATCTCTGGCAGTTAAGCCAGACTGACATGTAACCACTCATGAGAGACATTATTTTCTTCTTAAAAAGGATATGGTTCCCAATGTAGAATATTCTTTCCTACAACGATTTTGAGGTGATCCCCAACACTAGGGTTCATCCATCTTGTCTAATCCTCAGTTTGAAGGCATACTGCTGAACTGATTTTAATACCTAAATTACTTTTTATTGTCTTCCAGAAGTAACTCAAAATCTCCTTATCTTTGACAAATTAAACTTCCCTCAGTAGCGACAACTTAGGAGGTAGTCTATATATTTGAAACTTTTTAGATATTTTTATATGAAGTTGCCCTGTTTTAAGTATCCACGCTTCAAAATCATGACATTCAACGCCAATTCTATTGATGCTTCCTCGAACGCTTGCAAAAATGTAGTGCAAGGCACCACAATCTCATACTCTACGTGAACACCTATTACATCAGACTCATTACCTTCTAGAACAAATGTTGTCAACTCAGTTGAAATCTCTTTATTGTGATCAATTGGAATCGACTGCTTTTCTTCCTAGTTGGTTGGCAGTTGGTACTCCTCTTTTGTTTCCTCACTCTCTTCTGTCTCTATTGTGTTTTTGTCAATTTCTTCAACTGCTCCTTGATCAATTGAAGAGATTGTTCTCTCGATTGTGCAATCTGATTCAACATGCTCAAGTCTGCGACACTTGAAACACTTCCTGATAGGGCAAATTTGGAAATGTTGTTTGCTTCCACCTATTTTCCACTTGGAAATAGTGTCTTCTTGGGTGGGGTTTGAATTATTTGGTTGTAAGATCTTGGGGTTGAATTATTCCTATGAGCGTAGTCTTCCGGTGATGTGGTCTTGCTATTTTTGTGGTTGGGGTTTGAAAATTTGGTCTTTAGTGAATTAATAGGTAACGACACTGCATCTCTCGTTTAATCTCGGACCATATAGTGATCTTGTCTTTTGCCTGACGTCGGCGTGGGTACTTCAAATTATACTGCCAAAATAAAGCACTTTTTTTAGTTTGTTGGAAGCTAGTTTCACCATTTTGTTCTGTGGGACGTCCTGGCACTCAAAGTTACATTCCAAATTCCAAAGCCACTCGATGAACTCATCCTGATTCATGTGACTGTCAAAATTTGACAAATATATATTTACTTCAAAGTATGGCTTATCATGTATTTTAGGTCATAGCTTGGAGATAGAGGTTTTTCATCCATAGTTGACGAGATTCACTCAATTCGTATGATCTTGCAAATACCATTGTAGCTACGAGTGACCCATCTAGATTGCCTCCTCCCAATGGTGGTAAGCCTCAGTTGTAATTGACAGGTTTCCCACTGCATATCCTCCCTTAAAATCCCTTGAAAACCTCTTAATGAATTTCTCATAAATGGTCATGTGTTTTTCCCTTGATCAGGCTTCTGTCAATTATCTTCTTGGCAGCATTGACTAGGTTTTGGGTGTGAGTAGGTGGAAGGAGGTATGCAAGGGTGATGTTTGGTGAGAAGGAACTATTTTAGGTGGGCATAGGGTTGAGTATTAGTGGATGCTAGAAACCCTAGGATAGGATTAGGGATAGGCCAGCTTTGATATCAAATAATATCGGAGTTAACTCAAATCATAATAGAAAAAAGAAATATTATTACTGATAGAACCAATATACAATTACAACTGGCATATTTGAAAGGAAAATAATAGCAGACTCAACAATCCAACATAAATTAGGGTGGATCTTGGGGGGTGGTGGTGATCTGTGAGCGGTGGAAGGTGGCGGGGTGGTGGATGAGGTGGTTGGCAACATGTCAACAGTTTTTTGGATTCCCAAGCATAAAACAACATGTCAACAGTTTTTTGGATTCCGGATAGCAAGTACACAACAAGTATCAATGTCACATGGCTTTCCGGGATGATGGCGGCAAAGGGGGAGGACTAGAACAGCAGCGGTCGCGAAGATGGAAAGCTGGAACAGCGATGCCAACGACTATGGAAGATTGGAACAGTGATGGCAGCACGTTGGAGGGGATGGGACAGTGGCTAGGTGGCGATTAAGTGGTTCTGAATGGCTGGGACAGCGGCGAAGGCTGCAGAAGAGTGTTTTTATGTTTTATGTCTTGTCTCCTTTCCATAAGCCCTAGATACGTAGGATTGGATACCCCTATGGAAAGGAGACACCAATCCCTCATGAGAGAGCCAATCGGCCCTCTCGGGTTGGACCTGTTTGGTCCAGTCGAAGGACATCCCGCTGCTTCCTCTACACCACGCCTACGACGTTTTCTGCCTGCCTGGGGCATTATTTGCACCACCGCATCAATAAGTACCAGCATCTACCCTAGAAGATCCATTATTTATATTTCTAATGCTTTATATGCTAGGAAAAGTTAGAAATAGCTGATTTTGTCTGCTTCAAAAAAGGTTGGAACTTTGAGCATATATGAGATGCCACATGCCGTGGGGTTTTACTCTTCCTTTTAAACTGGTAGAACAATGGTAGTTCTTCCATAAATCATTAATTTTTAAAACTTCGTTGTGTTAGATATTGAGAAGCCTAATCCAGACAACTAGATGTGTACACTTGATATTTTATTTTATTTTATTTTTGCTCGTAATTATTATGTTTGTGTTTCAGGTGAAAGTTCTTCTTTAGCGGAGCTTGTGGACTTCATCATTGCTTCTCAAAATGGAGGGTCCTATGAAAACAAAGGAATGCTGGGATCAGTTACTAATGACAATGAAGACGAGGTAGTTTTTTCTCTTTTTTTTTTCTATTGTATTTTTATTCTATTGGTTGAAGGTGTACCATTGTTATCTATTTTGCACGATAAATATAGACTAGCTTTTCCGGACCATGATCTCCTCATTAGAACAGAGGAAGAGCATGTTTGTCTTAGAAAGATGATGGTTGTTTTTGTCCAAGTGTTACTGGATTCTTCTTTTATTTTTATTTTTTAAAAAAAGTGAAGAGTTGTTACGTGAAGGGGAAAACATTCGTAGCATTTGAACCATGAAAATGGTTAAGGTGGTGGGGTCAACCGAAGCCTTGGGAGAAGTCTTTGCAATAGGGATTACGATCCATAGAGGCCCTGAGGAACAGAAAATTTAGAAGATCCCCTAACAATGATCATTCAAATTTAGAAGACAACTAATAAAAAAAGAGAACATTATTGTTGATAAATCAAAAGAGGAAACCATGACAAAAACATTTGGGCCTCAAACCCAAGATTCTGCTGTGAAAAGGTCTTGCGAAAAAGTGAATCATGCAATGAACTTCCAAGCATGACTTGAAATATGCCATTGAAAAGATAGATGAAGAATGTGCGCCCCTAAGAATGACGTTCATATCAACACTATGGGAGTGCTTCTGTTTTTAGATGGTGGAATTAGCGCCACACCACAAACCCCAACGCCCCACCCTCCCCCCTCCCCCACACATACAGTAGTTCCTGATCAAATTTGCTTAATTAAGGAAGACATTGCACCTTCGCTGAGGCCAAAAGGTTCGTTTGAGGCATTTCTTAGGGGTTCAAGCTGGAAAAAAAAGAGAGCATGAAAATTGAAATATTATACATGGTTGAATGTTCTAGAAGCTAGCACGGTACCTGTGCTCACTAGCACTAGCATGTTGGATGACATCCACCCTCTTCCAGGAGAGTATTCTTTTTGATCTTATGAGCAAGGGTAACAACTCAATTTCTTTTCAATAAGTGAAAAAGAGACAAAAGAAGTCTTTAGAGTGAATTCCTTAACTCGTATACAACGACAAATGCAATAATAAATTAAGGCTAAAGGTCTTAAATTTTCTCTGCTTAGTGCTAAGATGAATGAAATGATAGCACAATTGAATACCCTCATTTTTGGATTTCAAAATGCCCTTGGGGGCGAGACAGATATTTTGGAGGGCAACCCAACCATCAGCTCAAAAAAATCTAAGCCACCTCCAAAGCGTTAACTATGTATTAGTCCGTGCTCTTATCAACGAGAAGATCAAAGCAATCATAAGCTTCATAGCACAATGGAAAGTTTGTGGGTAAGGATCTAAACAATGGGAATGATGCTATTCCCAACAACCAATAAAATGTTTTTTTTTCTTTTATTTTTTATTTTTTTTAATTCAATGTGTAAAACACAAAGCGATGCAGTACTTTACAAACTAAAGCATTCATAACTTGTATGTCATATATGCAATTGTTATTTACTTGCGATAATCATTTACTTGGTCGAAACACAAATCATATCTGGTAGTAATTTAGAATAAAATCAAGATTGTAAATAATGTAAGTGATGTAAAAGTACTTAAGCATCAAGAATACTCATGATATTGAGAGACTAACTAGAGATCGGAAGGTGTGAACAGTGTGGGACGAAAAGGTGTCAAGATGAGGCATCAAGGCGCATTCTATGATAGAAGTTGGTGACCAAAAAGGCTAGATTTCGTTTGAGCTGGCACTAAACATATAGTGCTATGATAAAATGTGGTGAAGTGGTGTGACTTGTGCTTTTCTGTGGGCCAACATGTCATAGACAAGCAATTTGTAAGGCTAATACATCACTTTGCTGCACTTTTTGTCTCGACTCGGTCATGGCTTGGAATTAACCAAGACGGAAACAGATGATTAGATGGTGGAAATCAAATTTATGATATTGATTCTCAATAAATATAATTTTACAAATGAAAGAGCCACTGAGTAAATTTTATTAAAGCAATATATTTCAAATTACATCGTTTATGTTTGTTCGGGTCTTCTATAATTTTCTTTTTATCGTATATCTTGTAATCAATTAAATTAACCTGAAAATTTAGTTTAAATTAACTGTGTGATATCGGAGAAAAGGTGTCCAAACTTTAATAAAAAATGATAATTTTATTGTTGAAATTCAAAAGGACTACAAATGACGACTCTATAATAGGAGAATAGCAACAATACAAATAAGGAAGACACCCTAGGGTTGCGGTGAGGGCGGTGGACTGTGGCTGGGCAGCAGGTTGAGGGATTGGTTGGGGGAGACCGGTGTAACAGAAGGCTGAAATGAAGGTATATCAGCCGGTGGGGTGCTGTGAGGTTGATGGCAGCTGGACACAGACTTAGGGGCAGCGGCAGGGTAAAACAGGGAGTGGACAACAGGTTTTGGGGAGTAGGGAGGTGGCAGCAACAAGTGGAAGTGGTGGACGGCGGCGGGCAACGTATCAAAGGCCTAGAGATGGTTGGCGGTTAGTAGAAGTGGGGTTGGACGGGGCTGCGGAAGGATAAATATTTCGTCGGGGTCGAGCTATAGCGGAGTTTTACTCGAACCCTTAGAGACGGTCACCACCTCGGACGAGTTACAGCTGAAGCACCTTGTCGTCGAGTATACCCCCGGTGGGGAAGAATGCTCAAAGGCAAGACTTAGAATTCTCCACTCATTCAAAAGCTGTTTGGTTTTCTGAAAACAACACCTATAAATATGAGAGATTAGGAGATGGACTAGGCAAGAATTAAAGAGGGGGGTGGGATGAAAAAAGAAGGAATTTGAAATAGGATAGAAGTAGAAGGTGGTAGATAAGGTAGGAAATGAATATGGAGGAGACTGTTTATGAAAAGGAGTGAAAAAGGAGATAAAGGGAAGCTAAAAGACAAGAAGGATCCACAGTACTGTAGCAGCTACAGTAACGCGGGCGGAAAGCTCCCATTTCAATCTTCTGGTGTTGGGAAAGCTTTGACCTCATTCGTCGAAGCTTTTAGTGTAGAAAGATTTTAGTAGGGGTGATTTGGGTAAAGGCGGATCCACGAAACCCTAGGATATAACTAGGATTTGGCTAACTTTGATGCTAAATGATACCGAAGAAAAAAGTCCCAAATCTTAATAGAAAATGATAATTTTATTGCTGAAATTCAAAATGACTACAAACACCAACTCTTGATAATAGGGGAATAACAAAAATACAAACACGGGAGACACCCTATGGTGGTGGACAGTGGCTGGGTAGCAGGTCGAGGGATTGGTTGGAGGAGACGGGCACAAAGGGAGGCTGGATTGAGGGTACAGTAGCCGAAAGGGTGTTGTGAAAGTGATGACAGTAGGGGAAAACAGGGAGTGTATAACAAGTTTTGGGGAGCAAAAAGGTGAGGCAACAACAAGTGGAAAGGGCAGACAGTCGATGGGTAGCGGATCAGAAGCCTGTAAATGGTTGGCAGTTGCTGGAAGCGGAGTCTAAGAGGGCTGCAAAAGATCGTCTTCTCAAAGTCGAGCTACGACCGGAGCACCACCCGGGCTCTCGGGCCCTTGGAGACAGTCATTAGCTCGGACGAGTTAAAGCCAAAGCACCTACTCATCGTCGGGTACAACCCCTATAGCGGAAGAACGCCTCAAAGTCAAAACTCAAAATTCTCCACTCATCCAAAAATTGTCTGGTTTTTAGAAAACATCACTTATAAATAGGAGAGATTAGTACATAGTTTAGGCAAGTATTAAAGGGGATGGGATGAAAAAGGAAGGAATTTGAAATAGGATAGAAGTGGAAGGTGATAGATAAGGTAGGAAATGAATTAGGAGGAGACTCTTTATGGAAGAGAGTGAAAAGGAGAAAGGGGGAAACTAAAAAGACAAGAAGGATCCATAGTTACTTTAGCAACTACAGTAACTGTGTCTGCTGTACTATATCTGCTACAGTATTTTGAGCAGAAAGCTCCCGGGTCACTGTGAGCTAAACGAGCTATTGAATACTCATACTCCTAAGTTACAACATTACAAGGAAAAAAAAACAAGTTGCATGTCAATGAAACCTTTTAATAAATTAATATAAATATTTAACATGCTATCAACTAATCATATTATATCAATAGCATACAAATATCATTTTATATCTATACAATCATCATAGGAGATCCGTTTAAAAATTATGTCAAATAAGATACGTAAATATCAATATCTCTTTTCATATACGTGTATTGATACCTTAGTGTTGCCCACTCGTACCATCAAAGGGTGACCCCATCATAGTTCTTCATGCACATACAAACAATCAACATAAATATATCATTCATGTTCCTCGTCGCATTCAATTCAATATATTATATATAACATACGTCAATGTATGATATTAAATAACTACAAGCACTTCTAACAATGTGACCAATAAAAGAAAATATTTAAATCAAAATAAAGTTTGTGCAAATATCATTATCTACTAATGTATAAATAATTAGAGAACCAAAATATTACCATAGATTAAAGGTACAAGTATTCACATTGATTGCCGATTAATTTGCTATTTGATTTGTCTCGATGTTGACTCCTTTAAATTTGAAAGCTTAAAATAAACATGTTATTCATATTAATATTTAATTTTATTGATTATGTTATTACATATATATATATATATATAAATTTCTTATCACATAATTAAAATTATAAAACTTACTTACCTTCCTCAATCGAATGCCAAACACGCGGTTTTAGCTTCGGCTTTTTCGCACGTGTCTTCTTCCTCACATCGCCTCGTTCAACAATCACACCAGACATCACCTTTGTCTAGCCTCTTCTGCTCAACATTGACGTTGTCTGTCGTTGTCACTTGCTAGGTGAAAACTCTAGTGTCACGCCTTCGCTCATCAAATGCTCCTTTCGCGGCGTCCTCCTCCCCTCTACAGGTTTCTTCTTCCTTCCTTTTCTTCCTTCCTTACTCGGCACCTACGCCGAGAGCTCTCGCCTCTTCTTAGCTTGACGATGCCCCACCTGCGCTAGATAGTGACGTCACTTCTTTCATTTCTACAGGTAAGTAAATTTCCCTGGCCGCTTCGTTTTATAAGCGCACTCGTCTCCTTAGCTTCTGATCCCCTCATTTCCCTGCCCCCCTCTTTGGTTTTTCGACTCATTGTTTCCTCTTCCCCCTCTATTCGACGTTTCGATTCATCTCCCGATAAGTGGAAAGGGGACGTTACACTTCTAATGTTTGTTTTTTAGTAACTAAATTTCAAGATGTTTTTGTAGCAAACTGTGTTTTTTTATGAGATAGTATTACTCTTTCACCCACATAACATTTTATTTTTAAGAATCACTATTATATCACATTTTTAATGTTTGTTCCATGGTCATTCTTGATGCTTTCTATTCCTTGCACTTTTGTAGTACTTGCTAATATTATTTTGGTTTTTTGGTAGGCTTCTACTACTGAAGCTCTCTTTGGAACAATGGATAGGACGCTCTACCTACTTCGAATGGGCTTCACTGAAAATGAAGTATCTTCAGCAATTGCTAACTTTGGTAATCAAAACAATGTGACATTTACTTATTGAAGGACTTAGTTCCAAATTTTGCTGTCCTACTTATTGAAATGTGTTAGTTTCCATTATGTTTATGATTTCTTATGTTTGCAAGCAAGTGTGTGCATAAACTACCTGCAAGTCATGCCATCTATGATAAGAAGATTGCTTTATTTCTTATTTTAAATCAATTGGACTTGTCTAAGTGAATTTTTAGTGCTCATATCCCAAAATTTTACTAATATTATCATTTTTAATATTTCAGTTGGTAGGTTCAGAACTATGGTTGATTTCCAAAAAATTGGGCCCATTAGATGTCCATTTTTTTAGTCATACTTAATAACTAACCACAAATGTTCTTGCACCAACTTATCAAAAGCTACTCATCTTTTCTTTTGATGAGATATCTAATTTGGCATCTTTTTTTCCTTTCACTCAAAAAGGCTATCAGTTCATATCACAAATAAACTCTATGGGATTGTCGTTGTCTTCTACTTTGAAAGTATCCCCTACTTCCCTATCATTGTTTCATATGAGAGGGAGCTAGATTTGTTGGATACTGCTCCTTAATTGACTCCAGTTGAAAGTATCCCCTACTTCCCTATCATTGTTTCATGTGAGAGGGAGCTAGATTTCTTGGATACTGCTCCTTAATTTACTCCAGTGGATATTTCTCCAACCACAATATCCAAAGAGCTTTCTATCCCTCTAGATCTGCCACCTACTAAACAACCAAAATCTCCTCTCACCCTCTGATTTTATACTCGGCGCACTCCTACTTCGAAGCCTGCTGCCTCTTTATAGCACCTGGAAACAACTCCGGGCGACATCCCCAACACTAACCATACTTTGAATGAGGGGGTGAGTTTTTCCAACCAAGTTCTCTTTATTCAATGACAAAATTTATCTCTTTCCATATTTATCAATGACCTACAAAATGTTTGCCACTGCCCTGAAGGATTATAATCTCATCCATTATCGAGACATCATTAGCACATCTCTCCTAAAAGACTGCAGTGATAGATGAGATGAATGCCCTTCAACAAAATCATACGTGGGATGTTGTAGATATTCCTCTAGGTGAGAAAGTAGTGACGTGCCGCTAGATTTTTAGCACCAAGTTTAACTCCGATGAATCTTTTGAACGTAATAAGGCATGGTTGATCGCCAAAAGCTATTCACAAACATACGAAGTTGACTATGATGAGACATTTGCTTCGGTTGTTAAATTAATCACCATTTAGGTCCTGCTATCTCTTGGTGTGAATTTGGATTGGCCCTTGCTTCTGCTTGACATCAAGAATGCTTTCCTAAATGAGGGTCTCACAAAGGAGGTGTAGATGTGGCTCCCTCATGGCTTTGACTTTATTTGCTCCCGGGGACAAGTGTGTCGACTGCAGAAACCCCTTTATAGACTAAAGCAGTCCCCAAGGGCCTGGTTCGACAAACTCAAAAGGGAGATAGTTGGTCATGGATTTTCTCAAGTACAATTAGATCATAGTTACCTCTTTTGGCATTCCTTCAGTGACCAAATTGCTATCCTTATCGTCTCAGATGAAGATATTGTACTCACAGATGACGATCTACCAGTATTAGTGTCTCGGAAAGGCATTCTTGCCACTTCTTTTGAAATGAAAGATTTGAGGTCCACCAGTACTCCTTAGACATGGAAGTTGTTTGGTCATCTCGGGGCATTTTCCTGTCTCAGCACAAGTATGTGCTTGACCTATTGTCAGAAATAACATTTTCCTCTGCAAACCTATGGCTATCCTAATGGATCCCAATGAGAAACTATATGATGTTCCCAATATGGTTCTAGTGAACAAGACTCGTCACCGTCTTGTGAGGAAACTCATTTACCTCACTCATACTTGCACCGACATTTTTCACGTGTTTGGTATTTTGAATCAATTCATGTATGATCCTTATGAGCACCATCTCAAAGTTATCCATAGTATTCTTCACTATTTAAAACACATTGGACTTAATTTTGTTTTTTTCGCACCACACCACTTGTTCTATTGTTATTTATACGAATGTTGATTGGTCGAGTCTGTCCATGATCGACAATCTACCTTGAAATATTGCTCATTTGTGGGGGGAAATTTTATCATGTGGAAAAATAAAATGCAGCCGATTGTGGCCAGGTGTTGTACTAAAGTCGAGTTTTGCTATATGTAGTTGGGTATCTGTGAAGCTCTCTAATTACGCATCATGTTATGAGAATTACGTATGTCGACCTCTACTCTACAGTTGTTTTGTGATAAGAAAGCCGTCATTAGCATTGTTTATAATATGTTCCAGCGTGATCGCACCAAGCATGTAGAGATTGACCGGCACTTTATTAAGGAGAAGCTTAATTTGGGTGTGATTTGTGTTTCATTTGTCTCATCCAGCGGTCAATTAGCAGATATCCTTACCAAGAATCTTCCTCAACCTTTATTAGAATTAATAACATATTTTCGCTGCAGTTATTATTAGCCCTTATTTCCTTTCGTTTTCATATTATATATTTTCGATGTATTCTATTTCTAAATTTATGTCTTTCCTTTTATTTAGTTTTATAATGTGTATTTATAACTCTTCTCCTATCAATGAAAGTATTCTGCTCTATTCTCAAATTTTTTCACATATATTTAATGGTTTGTTTATCACATTATATGAGTTCCTTTTCCAATTATGGTGAAGGGCATCCTTCATAATTATTGACTAAGATTTAGTGAAATTATTTGGGATAGGCTCCATGCTTATTGTCATTCTCCGGTTTTCCAAAATAATCTTGTCTTTTTTTGTTTCTCTTATCTTTATATGTGTGGGTTTTCTTGCAACTCTGAGATAATATGCTTGCCTTCTATCGCCATGAATCATCTAGCATGCAACAATATACTAAGTTAAAAGACAACCATTTTATGATCAAGCGACTATGAATGAAATTAGGATCAAAACTCCCCTGATAAAATATGGCGTTTGTCAATATGGATCATAACTAGAACCTCATCAGTGGTAAAAATTGACCAAAAATGTGTTTTGAGGTGTGATCGCAATTGCGAAATTCATTTTAATGTTCTCAACTCATTCTCACTGATACAAATGCCCAAACTTGAATGCAAAATTTGAAGATGAAAAACGCTAAAAAAACTCTTTAAGTGACAAGAAAGAAATCTTCCACTTTAAGACTAGGGACTTCGCAGAAAGTTGCTCTGACAAATGCAAACGCTGGTAAAGGGGGAACTATACGACCATGGAATTTTCCTTTTTTTTTTATTTTTCCAATTCCAGAGGTTAAATACAGTTTTCCACATTTTGGTTTGCCAAGATGCATTTTGTTAGGTCTATTTTGCTTCAATTAATTGAGATTTTCTTTTTTATTTTTTTGCCTAGGTTTGCTTCAATTAATTAAGAAATCCTGTGCTTTGTTGTCTTTTTTTGAAGTTTTTCAAAATAATCAAATGAAAGAGCTCAACAAAAGCCTTAACTTAGTTTCTAAGCAGTGTTTAGAAGGTTCACTGAACTTTGCATGCCCATGCTCTTTTTCAGGTTCGGATGCTTCTCTCGAGAAACTTGCTGATTCAATTTTGGCTAGCCGTTTGGCTTCTCAAGTTAAACAAGAGGTGCGTATGATATATATATGATATAGTTTACTAGTTCAATGTAATGATTTGTATTTTCTATATACTATCGAACTGCTAATTTTAAATTAAATTGATTCAACTAATCTAATCAATGATGAATTGTTCTCATAAATGCTAATTTGATATTCTATCACCAACCATTAAAGCGTGATGGTAAATAGTGACGTTATCATGATGAACAAAGCTTTTAAGCAATCCAATGAATAGAGATATGATATATAGAATATATATGTCAATGAAGTTTATAGTAATTGGCTTGTTGTAATGATGAATTTGAAAAAAAAACTCTGGTCTTAATTGAAAATCATGTGTCAAATTTGAATATTTGGCAAAAAAATGCTTGGAGAATTAATTCAATATGTTGAAAGATATATTACAAGAATTAGTGAGATCCAAAGTAAGATTCTTCAATGTTTGATACACTATGGCATCGATTTATCACCTTTTTCTTGGAAGCCATTATCATTGACTAGTTAAAGAGAAGAGTGCTTTAGGAATTAGAGCAAAACAAAATATATATGACAAAATAGATATACAGATTTTATTTGGGTTGCGTAACATGAAGTTCAATAACAATAGGAGAGTGGTGTAGATAGATTTTCATTTGATTTTTGCCCCTTGCGGTTTTAAAATTTTTTTTTTTTTTTTATCCACTAGAGGGTGGACTCTAAATATCTTTTTGTTCACCAGTGAGAAGTTGACATGTTTCATTAAATTGCGGCGTATTCTCGATGATAAAATTAACATTTGATTATGTAATCATCATTCAGGGGTTAGAGGGCTGGAACATCAACCATTACTCCCTGTAGAACATCCAAGCCTTGCACAAGTAATGCAAACAGACCTGAACAGATGAGGGGGAATCTTCATCAAATTGTTTGAAAGATTAATATGAATATCAGGCGCAATTTTCTTCAATTAAAATTGAGGATTTTTCAAATCAAAATGAGCTCTAAAACACTAAGGGAATTTGTGCTAGACTATAACAATAGGAATAATATGATGGTATGTTTTCTAGCCCCAATAACTAGAAGAAGGTTGGTCAATACATATCTTTTATGTAAACATGTAGTAACGTCCAATTGCATAGAAGCTTTGGCCTTAGTGGGCCTAGTAAAATTAGTTATTACAGTGTCCATCTGGTTTTCTAAAAGCGGAAGCAAAGGAGAATAATGTAATTGAAGCCATAGGAATGAGATCCAAACTGGAGTGTTAGATGCTCTATAGAGCAATCAAAATGGGGAATGATGTTAACATACACATTGGGAGGCAATTTATATAATCAGAATATCGTCAGAAGAGTCAGGTATTTTCTGCATCCAAAGAAGGATTGGGATGACTTAATGAGTCAATGAGACCTACAGAATAGTAACATATCAATTGTAAATCAACCATAAATTTCTGAAGTGCTTTCATGCTAGGGTAATGCATAGAAAATTTTCCAGTACTTGAGTGGGTGGAAGGATTAGCAAGCACAAAAATTTTCTCATGAGAAAAGAGGAGTAAGCTTGTCCTCAAATGATGTAGGTTGTTTATGTTGAATAGTCTCTAAATTTTGATGGACGAAAAGTGAGGACTTTTGAAGTGAGGGGGAGAAACTTCTCACTTAACAACACTTGGATCATGATGATCTCAATGTGGTGGAGGTACAACCAACAATTGGATCTTGAATAACTATGTCCAACATTTGGAGCTTGAATAACTTCTACAAAAGAACATGGAGGATGAGGGGGAAGAGGCACAACCAACTGAGGGGGAGGGAGAGGACGAGGATAAACTTTACAAGCGTCAAGAATCAGAAGAGAAAGGAGATGATCTCAATGTGGGATTAATCAAGGTTTTAGGAGAAATATTTGCATGAGTTGGGATTTGAAGAGGCTCTCATGAAATATGAAGTATATAAAATTATTTAGCATAAATCAAGGGATTGAGCACAACCGCCACAATGAACATCAAGGAAAGAGCAAAAATCTACTGTTGCTAAGAAAGAAGAGGATGACGTGATGAAGGTAGCCTTAGAAGCTAGAGGGATTAATAACGGACTAAATGTTGACATCATGAGATGGCATTAGCATTAGAATCAGAATAACTAATATATGATCCCAAAATTCTTGGCAGGGAAACAAAGTGACACTAGAATACTTGTAGCGAATTAGCCATGTTTTTTTATTTAAAGATTAAGTTATTTGGTCAATCAATACTAATACTTGTAATAACATATCACAGTGAAGTAATTTATCTTTCTAAATTTTTGAGTAAATGTCTTTCTTAAACTTTTTTTCTGATATGATTGTAATAGTAGTAATTTAGTTTAGACTTTTAAACGTTTGATTAATTTAAACATTTAAATGTTGGTATTGAACTTCGTACATGAAATTTGCTCCTTTTCTGGTTTCAACAGTTCCCTTTCAATTAAACAATTTTAACAATTAGATATTAAGGTTTTCTTTGATTTTAGCCCAAATAACTACAAATAAATTTTTCTAACATAATAAAGAATAAATAAAATTCGATTTCGAATTTCTTAAAGCCTCAAATCTTCCTCAATTTCCCGCTGCCTTGCTCACTCCTTTGCTTGGAGCACGAAGGGCTCACTAGATGCTTCTCAGTGCATAAAATGTTGCATCACTTAGGAGGGTTGCTTGATTTCCCCCTATTCGCTTGAGCTCACAAACGCTCGATCGAGTGTCTCCCTCACACATGAGGGCCTCTCGTGAATTGTTCGAGCTCCCACGCGCAGAAAGCCTCATGTCTATGTGTGAGAAGCAGCTCAGCTTCCCTTTCTCCCTCGCACAGTGGATGCACTTCCTGCATGAGGCTTGTCGGCTAACCTCCCTTCTTGCTGCTCGCCATTGGTCATCCAAATCGATCGTCACCCTATGTGAAGGAATTGACCCGACTCGACTAACCTATCCTTCACTCACGCCTTATCTTTATTCCTTCTCCTCGTTCCTTCTTCTGCACTCTCGTTCCCTCTATCTTGATCTCTCGTGTGGCTTGTGCGTTTAGTTCAAATGAAACAAGAGGATAAATCCACGTTTCTTTACTTTCTGTGCGCGGTGTGGGAAATGTTTGAATGGCACCTGTTGTGTAGGTGTCGTATGTAGATAAGTGGAAAATTTTTTTTATGTTATTTAAAATCTTTAAAAGTTAATTATTTGAATCTCCTCTTCTTATAGAATTTTCGTCCTCGAAATTTAAAGTATAAGAACATCTTTCATACCTCAATTGAAAATAGGTGAATATCTTTTTCATTTCTGATTTCTTCTCCCCTATAGCATCTCTTTCTACCCCACAATACACGGGCAAAAAGAAGCTATCTATTTTTGAGTTGCCTCATATCATATTCCATAATTTTTATGTTCTCTTATAAAGGTCAGATCAAGTTGAATGTCTATGAGTTCTGTGACAAGCTTGCTAGCCTCATCAACAGTATACTTCCACAACAAAGATGTATGAAACACATTATTTCCTCTGTTCATGTGTTGATAAGGTATACGCCACTTTCTCAATCTTCTCCAAAAGCTATATGGGCCAATATACCTTGGACTCAAATTCCTAGACTTTTCAATTTGTTTAATACCTTTCATGGGACTGAATTTTAGAAAAATAAGTTGTCTCAACCTTCACTGGTCGGTACTTAGTATCATAATACTTTCTCTATCTATATTGAACATTTATTAGTCTATCACGAATCAACCTGATTTTGTTAGTAACTTTGTCAACCGACTTGGTGTCAATTATATTCAATTCACCAATTTTTGCCCAACAAAGATGTGTTTTGTATTTTCTTTCATTCAAGGGCCTCATAATGAGTCATATCAATAATAGTCTATCAGAGATATATGCATTTCTTAATTTCCATTGAAATCAAGCACACAAAGTCTAAACAAATCTTTAAGATTTATATTGTTTTTTTCTGACTGGCCATCTTTTTGTGGATGAAACATTATATTGAACGTTACTTATGTATCGAAAGCCACTTGAACTTTATTCCATTTTTTGGATATCAATCTACTATCTTGATGTGAAATAATGGACTTTGGGACTACCTGCAGTCGCACAATTTCATCTAGATAAATTCTGGTCAACTTATTAACAAAATTCATCTGTCTGACAAGCAAGAAATATGAAAACTTGGTTAAATGATCAATAATCACCCAAATAGTATCATGATTTTGCTTTGATCTAGATAATACAATCACAAAACTCGTAGCAATGGCTTCTCATTTCCATTGTGATATAGGCAATAGTTCTAACAATTAAATTAGGCTTTTAATGCTCAATTTTAACCATCTGACAAGTTTGGACATTTTATCATGAACTCTACTACACTGTGCTTCAACCCTGGATATTAAAATAGCCCTTTAAGCTTTTGATACGTCTCATTGCTTTCTGGATGTATTGTGTATCTTGAATAATGTGTCTCATGCAAAATTTCTTTCCGTAAATGATGCACATGAGAAATATAAATTTTATTTTTGTATCTCGGATATATTTTTTCATCGGTCTCATATTTCTTCATTTGACCTGAATTCACCTAGTCTAATATTTTTGAAACTCTGCATCATATGGCAATGCAACTCTTATTTTATTCTTCAAGGTTGGCTAAATAAACATTTGATTTAATATTGCAAAACTCTCATCATTTGGTGCAATTAAAGATAAGCGCAAACGCTTCATATCTTTAATTAGTTTTTATGGGTGTGTAATTACTCAATTTGCATTGTTGCCTGTCTTTTCATTTAATGCAAATGTCACTACATTTTTTTTTCTTGGATGATAATTTATATCTATATCATGGTCTTTAATGAGATCAAGCTATTACTTTTGTCTTAAATTTAGTTTATTTCCATGTGAAAATATACTTCAAGACTTGGTGATCTGCAAACATTTCACGCCTGATTCCATATAAATAATGCCTCAATATTTTCAAAGCAAATAAAAATGTTAGCTCAATGTTTTGTCGAATAATTCTG